GAGATAAGCTCACAAAGTTTCTTTTATATAGTTCACAGATGCTCAATATGTGAACCTTTGCTGATACGGCAGACATCTATGCGATAATCCATTTCGTTCCACACCCTTGTCAGCATATAACGGTTGACCAGCGCCATAGCAGCGGTGATACGGTTGCGAAGATCCCTGAGATTAGCAGGCAATGGACGCTTTAAAAAACTTGGAGAGATTCATTCTCTATCGGCGAAAGAATTACCATGATCCGATGCATAGTTTATTTGTTGTGAATTTTTAAAATGTTTCACGGACTTATGAATAACCCTGTATACGAGTATTTCACTTGTAACTAAGACCGCCTCTGTGGTCTAGTGGTCAGAGTTCCTGGCTACACATTCAGAGGTCCGGGTTCGATTCCCGGCGCTACAAGATTTTCTGAGGAGTAGTGGGTCTGGAAGGGGTCCACTCAGCCTCGTGAGGACAACTGAGGAGCTATTTCATGGAAATAGCAAGCTCCGGTCTAGAAAACCGAAATTAGCGGCCGTGGGGATTCTTTGCTCTGATCACATGACACCCTCTATCCGCAAATGTTGGCACTAACTTCGCTGACAAGCGGCGGTCGCTCGGTCGGTATACTTCGCTTGCGGACTACTGGCCAGTGGGTTTGTTTGTTTTTAGGAAACGTAAATTTTTATGAAGTGCAAGGAAGCACAACTGGGGAATGGGGAAAATCGCCTATTCCTACCCACTTTGCTGTCACCTCTGACCTGTACTTAGGAACTTCCTATTGAAAGGAACAATGTAAAGGATTCGGTAAACACAATTTCAAAGGAATCCACTGGGCATGTTATGGAATAAATCAATGAAATGAGACCCGCAATGTACCCATAGTAATCATCTTGTAAATGTAACTGTAAACACAGATACCAATGCAGTTTTCCGCGCGTACATCACCGTAAAATAATATGGGATTGAAGTTCTCCCCCACCCTCACAAAACAGGAATATATAAAAATTTGGAGGCAGCAAAATGTGTTGAACCAATGGGATGCTAAGGCTGTCGGTCACCTGAAAAAACCAAACAAATATCACACGCCTTTATTCAAATTACGACATCGCTCTTCAAGATAAAAATGAATTCAAAGGAAACATATGCAAAAAAAGGGGGGGGACGAAACAAGCAGAGAACCAAATTCAGGACTCATCACCGCGAAAGGATTTAGAAGGCATTGAGCCGCAAACGAATATTTCGACCAACTACCAAAATTTTATCCCTGACGTCTAAGGTATGTGTGAACTTGAGCTGATCAGAGTCGAAGTCACATTGCGACTGACGGTCGGTCGGTCAGTCGGTCAATTTGTCTTGGTGTCGAGCCCTGTCTGACGCTCATGACCAGATATTATTTTTTTTTTATTTACTGCGCTGTCCATGTGGGGCGCCCAATCCGACGAGAGGACCGAGTCACTGTCAGCAGTGAACTTGAGGCGCTCAAGGCAGTCGTACAGATAGTGACGGCGGGCAAAGAGAAGGGACAAACGAAACAAAGAAAGCCCACAGGGAAGGCGAGGTACAGGCTGGTTAAGAAAGATATAGCTTCTGAGACGCCCATTTGGTCACTGATTTCCATAAAATGTATTAAAATACAAGCACTTCTTCATATTGAGAGTAATAAGAAAATTTCCTTTTACTGTCCCATTGTAATATTAAGCCTTATTCTCTTAAGAGAAGTCAAGACGGCTGTTCAGTAGGAGCTGCCTTATGCCTTCGTGAAGAATGTACTAGTGGTTGGAAAGGTGCACACTGAAACTGAAGAAGCTGAACTCGACAAAAAATCCTGCTTAACGAACTCGCCTGTGCCTTCAGTTCGTCCTGCTCTTTGTTAGTGAGCTCCACTGAGCATTATGTTCATATCGGGTACACTTAAAAAATAAGTATCAGGAATCTTCCTGGGGGGTAAAAGGCAGCCGGTGCATTAAGGTTAACAATCTTACCGCCATCTGTGAGCAGAGTGTCTAGGGAAAATTTGGGAACCTCGACGTCTCAGAACACTATGGGCCTTCGCGGCCTCTTACAGGGATAATTTTTTTTTAACTTTTACAGTTCTTAGACACTGTCCATTTTTGATTGGTTTTAACGTCCATTGATTTATTTTCTACATAATTTAAAACTTATCAGATTTATGTGTCCGCGTGTTGAATCACCCTTGCTCTATCCATTTCATATCCGGTTATACTGGGTATGACACTATACATTTTTAGATTTCCTTACTTACAGGTTTCGATCTATGTGACATACTGCCACAAGAATCTGCAGAAACTGTAGAAAAACCTGCAGAAGACGTAAAAGAAGAACTTACATCAAAATATTTATTGTTCAGCACAGCGTAACTGCATACAAATATATTTACAAATTGTACTTCAAATATTTCAAGTAAATTGTGTCATTATTTCATATATGAAACGTAAATATATATGTGTGTACGTGTAATTA